CCAAAGTGGAGTAATTATTCCCGAACAAAGTGACTTTTATATCAAAATAGAGGGTCCACACAAGGAGCTTGTTCTGTAATAGCTCTTTTGGTCAATTTCCCTGTGTAGACAAGACCTCAGACTTTCTCTTGAGGTTCGAATGGGAAAATAAATTGGATTTGCAGGCTGGAAGGAGTATATTTTTTTTAATGGACTTTGCTTTGTCAGTTTCATGTAAATTATATTTAAATATGGATTGCTCACTTAGACTATAATGGAGGCACTTTAATCAAACGACAAATTAAAGCAAGCGTACAAAATATTTCTACACTCAGATTTTTCAGTGCTGTAATAAATCTTTAGTTCTAGCTTTTCTTCACGCTATCAGGAACATCTCAGTGAGAATGTGTGTGTTTACCAATATAGAATATATTGACGAAGTGTATATTTACATTTTTAAATAGACATTTTATTTTTTATTAGAAAACCTCCAGGAAGTTACTTTAATAATTTAAAAAAAAAAAACAACAACCCAGGACGAAACCCTTTAACGAGGACGCAAGACATTTGTGTGTTTACTTTGCACATTTTGTACTTAGGACAGAATTACACCCCTGGATACCTGCATCAAATGCCTATCCAGCAGTTCTGATTGGGAACTTTGGCCCTGGCTCATTGAACAAATATATAGGGCCACATTGTCAGGCTAGTGTAAATCAGTGTAGCTCTGCTTACATCCCCTGAGACTCTAGCCCGACCAAAGTTCCCCATTCACACAAGCATATGGGCTACATCTTCAATTGGTGTAAACAGAACCACAGTGATTTACACCTGCTCAGGATCTGGCTCTCCACATCCCAGGGAAGCTATGTTAAACTGTACCACTTACTGTAATAGTCGCTCACTATACATGGGACCTAAACCCACCATTCCCACTCACACCAGTAATTCCATTGACTTGAGAAGGGGTGATTTGCATGAGCGAGGGATACTTGGGTAAGTAATGGCTGAAGGATCAGGCCAACAAAAAGCATACACGTAGGGCCCAATCCTGCAAAGTCATAAGCATCAACCCCAGCTGAAATCACTGAGCTGAGAGCAATGAGCACCTTGCAATCCTCAGTTAGCTAGAGAGTTGGACCAGGCCCGATGGAAGTAAATGTCAGCCTTTCCTTGAAAACATCTTTGTTTACTAATCCCTACTACTCTGCTCAGCTCCAGTAAAACCCACTGTTCCCTGCAGTGTGCGCTACATATAGCAGCAGGACACACTTTTAAGTCCCAACCCCAAAATCCAATGGAAGTTCTGGATGCACAAGGAATGCATGGCTGGACCCTATAATGTTTACACTCATTGCAGACAACTAATTTATAAGAACCAACCCCCCACCCCCACCCCCCGCAGTCCCCATTTCCTTTCTCCATGACTCAGACCCCTCTTGGCAGCTGTGGCATGCACATGCAGGAGTTGCATAGGAAAGGAAAGCTACACCCTATTATTTAGAAGATGAAGGTCCAAGCCCCATTTAATCAATGACAGCTTAGGATCTGCTCCTTTGCTGCCCGGCGTTAATTTACACAAAGTAACACCTAATCAAACTCTGCTTTTATTCTCCAATTGGCTGTGGTTATTACCCAGACCCTCCAGCCAGAGAGAGACATAAAAGATGCATTTGCAGATTTTGAAAATTAAAGCCATCTATACAGCCGATGGGGAGGATCAGCTTATTTGGTTGCTTAATGAAATATAAAGATTATTTTAACCAATGTAAGCACAATTCGACAGCTTGTGAAACCCAGCGGTGGCTTGATGAATGGCCTTCTCAATTTAAAAAAAAATCGCTGCATTGTGTCTTTTAAATATTTAATTTATTCCGTTTTGGAATGTGCATAGAGGTAAATGACAACGAAAGCGGGCCTACGTGCGATCTCGGTTAACTCACATCTGCTAGATTAAATAGCCTATGAACACAGAATGCCGATATCCCAGCCGGCTCTTTCATATTACTCTGTCTGCCACTCTGTATTTACTAAAAAAAGAAAAGGAGGACTTGTGGCACCTTACAGACTAAAATTTATTTGAGCATAAGCTTTCGTGAGCTAAAGCTCACTTCATCAGATGCATGTAGCTCCCAAAAGCTTATGCTCAAATAAATGTGTTAATCTCTAAGGTGCCACAAGTACTTCTTTTCTTTTTGCAGATACAGACTAACAAGGCTGCTACTCTGAAATCTGTATTTACTGTGCACGGTTACAAAGAAGTTACATCTGTCATCTGCCAATGCAGCATTCCAGACAGTTATTGAGAAAACTGGAACATCTATTGACTGGTTTCATGTTACTTTAACTATTTGTAAATCTCCTTTTTCAAATGTATGCCTTTTCTTCCAGGCCAGCAAGAAGAGTTTAACACAGAGAAAAGCCTTTTAACAACCAAATAAATAGAAATCTTACCAAAGAAAATGCTTTCCCATTGGAAAAAGTGGGCCTTTATGGAGCCTCACATCAGAACGGCCACATTGGGTCAGACCAAAGGCCCATCTAGCCCAGGATCCTGGCTTCTGACAGTGGCCAATGCCAGGTGCCCCAGAGGGAATGAACAGAACAGGCAGTCATCAAGTGATCTGTCCCCTGTCACCCACTCCCAGCTTCTGGCAAACAGAGGCTAGGGACAGCCAGAGCATGGGGTTGCATCCCTGCCCACCTTGGCTAATTGCCATTGATGAACCTATCCTCCATGAAGAATCCTCTCCAATAATTCTGTCTTGCAAGGGGAATTTCCATTTCAGTGATGGTTTCCAAACACACCAGTTTATTTGGGATTCTAAGTTACAGCCAAAGGTGTACAAACTGCATTAGAAAATAAACTGATCCAAGCTCTGGTTCTGAAAACCTCCTATGCAGATCATGAACCTGGCTTACAGTTGTTTATAAATACAAATCTAGCTTTTAAGTTGGATGAGCAAATGCAGAAGCTGCCCAAGGTCAGATCCCTCAGCTGGTTCAAATTGTCTTGGTTCCACAGACTTCCGTGGAGCTACCCGGCTTATTATTTATTTTTACTCCAACTAAGAATCTGGCCCAAATACTCACTGATGCTGCTACCTATACCAGACTCGGGTTCTGAGTTCTCTGGCCCTGTTCACTAGTGTACGCTACTAGAAAATGTCCCCATATACGGAAGACTAGCAGAAGGCTTCTGCACTGCTTAAATCCCACTTAAGCTCCATTTTGAAGGCTTAAATTAGCACATAGGTTCTGTGTGCACTGTCTGTGCAAGAGAGAAATTTACCCTATAGCATGAGTGATGTGGGCGATATGTTGAGCTGCCAGCTAGTTTTCTTCAAATATAAGACTGAAGAACAGCCTTGAAGTGAATTTAGAACTGTTCAGTATGAAGGTTCTAACACCACAAACTGAATCTAGGTCCAGGATATGGCTGGTCTTGGATCAGGTTTCCATGGAGTAACTCGTCTAGCGTATTAGAAAGGCCTTTCCTTCAATGGCGACAATATGGATGGAGCTTTGTGGAAAACAGGCATATTTCCAGTCTGCCTATTGTTAATCCTATCTGTCCTGATTTCAGTTTGTCTCATGATTGCACAAAATTACTCCAGCACTGTATAAAGCCTCAAGAATGTTTCGGACCTATGGAAATATCTCTGTGGTAAGGAACATCGATGCAGCAAAAGAACAAGATAGCTGAATAGGTCTTTGATTCTAGTCACGAGTGAAAGACACCTAGTTTGCTCAGTAAGTGAGATCCCATAAACATCCTACTCTGTTGCAAACTCCCATAGAAAGCAATACAGCTTCTGATTCCAGATGCACAAAAGTTCTATGGATGCCTTATGAAGTCCTTGTAAGTTTAGGTTTAGATTTGCATTCCAGAAGTCCTCAGGCAATGAGACCTTTGACTGAGGATTCGCTCCCTCCTGTGTATTGAGATTCCTTTCCTTGGTGGTATAAATCTTTTACATAGAAAAATGAAAACTTGTTAGGGATAAAGGTGAAATTTAGAGAAAGAAGTTGTTGTTCTTTGAGTAATGATGGTTAATTTATTTGACACAATAGATCTATGCAAAGATAAGATTTGGGCTAAACTTTTGCCTTCAGATTCAGACCTCAAATTGAGGTCAATGAGACTTGGGCATGACCTCCAGCACCTGATGGTAGCTCCATGGTTTTCTTTCTCAGGCAGCCACTATCTTAAGCTGGTAAATAACCTAAAGAGAACTGTCCCAGCCACTTTCTCTTATTGTAGTTTCTCCATCCTCACTTGGTGACTGCTATTTCATCTCTATTTAACACCTTTTATTAGAGGATCTCAAATTCCTTTACAGACATGAGTTAATTCAACCTCCCAACACCGCCATGAGATTGGTATTAGCCCTATTTTACAGATGGAGAAACTAAGGCACAGCAAGGTAAAGTGACTTGTTTTGAGGTTGCCCAGTGAGTAAATAGCAGAAAAAAACAGGGGAGCGGGGGTTGGATAGTCTACAAAGCATGTCCTTGATATTGGGGAAACTGAGTCTCTCCAAATGCCAGATACACTCAATTATCAGCAATTTCACCACAAGTTTCTCACACACACACACAATTTTTTTGCCTTTCATTTAAATGTCACTTGGAAAAATTCTTTTTATTTCCTAATACTATTTTGGGGGATACATTCACATGCTGTTTCCTACGGTGGCAGGTAGGCCTCAGGGAAGGTATCGTGCTGTTTTCATTGCTGACTTTAACCTCAGCATCGCTGTCTCAGGTCCCAAAGCTCACCGCAGTTCAAGGACCTTGCCATTCATTCAGTGGGCTTTGGGTCAAGACCCATGAGCCTTATTTGTATTTCACATCAAAGCTTCCAAGGATCTAACTAATCAGACTGTTCAGAGAGGCCGGCAGCGATCGTCTAGTCTGACCACCCGTGTAAGCAGGCCACAGAACTTCCCTCTAAATAACTCCTTTGTATTGGAATGAATGAGTTTCTAACCAGGCCTTTTCTGCTTGGGTTGTTTTAGGGGTAGGCCACCATGCAGCACTATGGAGTGAATGGTTACTCTCTTCACGCCATGAATTCTCTGAGTGCCATGTACAACCTTCACCAGCAGGCAGCACAACAAGCCCAGCACGCCCCTGACTACAGACCCTCGGTGCATGCCCTCACGCTGGCGGAGAGACTGGCTGGTAAGAACAATTTATGGATTTTTGCATTGAGCCTGGCTCACGTTGAGCGAGACTCTTCCACTGTGCGGAATCTTACAGAGGCCTGGGTGTTCTATAGCAAACTATATAGATCCCCATGGACAAATATGGCTGGATCAGAGATACCTGGGTAGTCAACTCACCCCTGAGCACAGATACAAACTACGAGGCCCCCGCTAAAGACCCACTAGGTCCTTAGTGTGAAATTCACCCTGGGCAGAGGCCCAGTGCCCCATCTATGTCCTATTTCAGAGCGGAAGTGGGATTGGAGTGGTGCATTGACCTTGTGCCAGCCATCGGCCCTGGGGTGAATTTCGCCCGACGGGCTTAGATACTTGCTTATTCTCTACGTGGTACCATGTTGCCTCGTACACTTGAAGCCCTTGTCCCACCGAGGGCTTGCTCTCCTGCAAACCCTCTTCTCCCATCAGCACTTCTGATGTTGGATCCCTCCAGCGCATCCCTTGCCCGATCTGTCGCTCTGGGGTTTGGTACATCTATATCAGAGCGTAAGAGCTTCAGAAGAGGGACCATGTCACCATCTAGCCTTTGTAAAGCACTGTATCAATGTACAGCACTGTAGAAATACTGAAAGGAGAACTAAGCAGTGCAAGACACCCCACTTATTGGCTTGACAGGACGACAGTCGGGAGGCATGGGACAAAGTTAGCAGGGGCAGCAGACAAGAAAATGTCCCCTGTGGGACAGGGACTGTGTAGTGTGTGCCCAATGCAGGCTCTGACTCGTTGGAGGTCACTTGCTTGCAACTGCAGTACAAATCATGGACAGTAATAATAATGCCCTGATGTGGCGGTTGCTAGGGGGGCCTGCCCTGAAGAGCTCACAATCTAACGGGTTTGGCATGGAAAGGCAGATCTTGCTGAGCGGCAGCTGGAGGGCAATTGCATCCCGACCTGTGTTGCAAGAATGTATGAAAAACTAGTTGCTAAGTTGTAAGTAAAACTAGGCAATCTCCAGCTGACTGCCAGAACTCACTGATAAACTAGGGTTAGATGAAGATGAATCTCAAGAACTTTGGATAAGCATCTGGGTGTTTCCCTGGTCCTTGAGCGTATAAATGAGGGATAGACATCTCATGGAGGTGATGTGGTCTAGTGAATAGGGCAGGGGTTCTCAAACTGTGGGTCGGGACCCCATTTTAATGGGGTCGCCAGGGCTGGTGTTAGACTTCCTGGGGTCTGGGACCAAACTCCAATGGCTTCAGCTCTGGGCGACAGGGCTCAAGTTTCAGGCCCCCCTCCTGGGGCTGAAGCCCTTGGGCTTGGGCTTTGGCCCCGCCCATCCGGAGCAATGGTGCTCAGGCTTTGGCTCTCACAGCCAGGGTAGCGGGGCTCGGATTTTGGCCCCCTTGCCCAGGGCATTGGGGCTCAGGTGGGCTCAGGCTTTGGTCCCCCTGGGGTCATGTAGCAATTGTTGTTCTCGAAAGGGGGTCGTGGTGCAAGGAAGTTTGAGTACCCCTGCAATAGGGCCAGGGTGAAAGTAATCTTAAATTCTTACCAGTACAGGGGCCTGGCTCCGGGCCCCTGGAAGGGGCGGGGCCTTGAGTGGAAGAGGCGGGGCTGGGGGGGGGGTCAGCCTCCTCCAGCCAGCCCATCCGCGCTGCCTGGCCCGTGCTGCCTGGGGTTCTGGCCACTGCCATGGTGGTGGCGGCTGGGAGCCCTGGGCTATTTTAAATCACCGGCCCTGGGGCAGCTGCCCCTTTTGCCCCCCATCCATGAGCGGCCCGGGAGGGGGTGGGGGGGCAAAAGGAGTAGCGACGTTAACGTCGGCTGGGTACGGGTCGGTATCGGCTTCTTACTGGCACACTATACCGGCCCACTTTCGCCCCTAAAGAGGGCAAAGGATTGGGAGTCAGGAGGGCCTGATTCCGCGACCTTGGGCAAGTCACCTTCCCTTCCGTGGGCCTGTTTCACCTCTTACCCTTTGTCTATTTAGCTTGTAAGCTGTTGGAGGCAGGGACTGTTTCACTAGGTGTTTATATAGCAGAGAGTAAACTTGGGGGCCTCAAGGTGCTACTGTAATACACAGAATAAGGATCTCTTGGAAGGCTTCTGACCAGGAAATCCCAAGAAAACAGCTTAGCTCATACACTGTGGTTTTACATTTCTGGCCCTAGCTATAATCAAACAGGCAAACACAGGGGTGGCTGAAATCAGCGGGGGGAAGCTATTCAGACTCCTTTCACTGATATTCAGAGCAAAGATTCAAGTTGGTTTCTGGCTACTTATTTTATCTCAACCTTTTGTTAACAAAGAGAACTAATCTGGATAATTTCAGTAAATTAGTCAAACTGTCCTCTTCGGATTCAAATATACCTTCCACCAATCTGGTGGGCGGCAGAGGGGACCTGGCTTCAGTTTACACCGAAGCAAGCAGGCTCCAAACGTGATTACTTAGTTCACATTTTGTTACCACTGAATATCTTTTAGCGCAGGGTTATAGATCACACTTGCCTTCCGGGGACAGTAGGAATAAGCCAGCACAAAAGCAAACAACCTTAAATTGGAAAACAGAGGTTTCAGATTGTAACTGCAAAGCCTCACCTGCAATTCATAATCTCCTCCTTGCACTGAACCTGAAAACATAGTTAAAGCATTGAAATAATTGTTGTCTAGATCCTTGTTAGTAGCCAAATTAAATATTTGAGCCACCACCTCTGAGAAACTGGCAGGTTTAACCTCCACTGTGGAATGTTGGGAATATTCCAGCCGGTAGATGTTAAACCATGGTCTCTCCTCCTTGGTTTTGATACCCGATGTATTAAAGTTAGATGCCATGGGACTTAACAAAAATATTGTAGGGATCTCTTGTCCTGAAAGAATATTCCTTTCCTCAGAAAAGCAGCCAGGCAGCATTGTGAGGTATTTCTGAATGCATAAAGGATACTTGCTGCCTTCTCCTACAAAATTGGCTGTATTACTGGCATCTAATAACTCATTGCTTCCTTGAATGCAGAGGTCTCTTTGTTTTGTATTCTTCTGGAAACTTTTAGCCTGATTGAGCCTTCCTTGGGTCACCAAAACCACTCTTACTTTGGCAATAGTCTGGGGAAGCATCATAGAATCTGGCCTAGAATGAAACAGCTGGAAGTTTGGAACTGGAATATTCAAATAACGCAAAGCTCATTTGCTACGCTCGTTAACTAACATATTTGGAACCAAACTGTGTGGTTCTGGGATTGGCCTGACAGCCGGCTTTGTTTTATTGTTTACATTCATGCCATGGGATTTACGACAAAAGCTCACATAAATAGCAACGCCCGCAAAACAAGAGCCTTACTCTGCCTGTGTAAAATTAGGTTTGCTTTCTAGTGTGTCCATTCCCTCTGTCTGAACGATCACATTCTTAGCTGTATTAAAAATGATGCCATAGACTATTAAAGCTGGAATTTAAACAGGAAAAAAAAATCAAATGTATTTCTCATTCAGGCTCTTTGTTTACTTCTTTTGCACTTCATCTTAGACCGGGAATCACTACTGCTCCATTTAGCTCTGATTCCCATGCACGACCACAGTGTTGCGTTTGGGTTGCAGAATTTAAAATAAAACCAGCCTATTTTCATTTTCATTGACTTTTCAAAAACCAACCCTAAACACATGTCTACTCCTGGTAGCTTTCATAAACCCCTCTTATTTATTGAGCTTTTAGTGGCAGAATCGAGAGGCCTGATTTTTTCCAGCCCATACCTAATTTTTTGCATCCCCAGTTCAGTGGGCACAAACAAACTGAAGGCATAATCTGTATCCTTGAGACACCTAACGAGCTCATCTGCTTGGAAAGGACGGGTGAGTCAGTGACTAGGACTCCGGACTGGTACTCAGGAGAGCTGGTTCTGTCACGGAACGTCGGCAAGTCACTTCAGTTTCCCCTCCCATTCTTTGTGTGTCTTGCCTATTTTAAAAGTAAGCTCTTCGGGACCAGGTCTGTCTCTCTCTATCTCTCTATACAGTTATTTTAAAGAGTCCTCTAAAACATGGAGGCTAAAAAGAAGACCAGGTTATAAAAGTTAAGCCCCTTTTGTCCTTGAAATTGTCTAGCAAACTTTAGCCTTCTATAAACAACCGTTAAAATCTCAAATTTGGGTCACACCTAAGTTGGCATGGGGTCCCTTTAAAATCCATCTTTTGCATCAAGTCCAATTAGCTGGGTTAACTCCTTCCCATCAGCACCCTGTTGGTCTTGTATGTCCTCTGAGACACAGAATCAGAGGACTAGACGGGACCTCATGAGGTCATCTAGTCCAGTCCCCTACAGTCATGGCAGGACTAAGTAATTATCTAGACCATCTAAACCATCCCTGAAAGGTGTCTGTCTAACCTGCTCTTAAAAATCTCCAATGATGGAGATTCCACAACCTCCCTAGGCAATTTATTCCAGTGCTTAAACACCCTGACAGCTAGGAAGTTTTTCCTAATGTCCAACCTAAACCGCCCTCGCTGCAATTTAAGCCCATTGCTTCTTGTCTATCCTCAGAGGTTAAGGTTTTCTCCCTCCTCCTCATAAAAACCTTTTATGTACTTAAAAACTGTTATCATGTCCCCTCTCTGTCTTCTCTTCTCCAAACTAAACAAACCCAATTTTTTCAATCTTCCCTCATAGGTCATGTTTTCTAGACCTTTAATTCTTTTTGTTGCTCTGCTCTGGACTTTCTCCAATTTGTCCACATCTTTCCTGAAATATGGAGCCCAGAACTGGACACAATACTCCAGTTGAGGCCTAATCAGTGCGGAGTAGAGCGGAAGAATTACTTCTCATGTCTTGCTTACAACACTCCTGCTAACACATCCTAGAATTATGTTTGCTTTTTTTGCAACAGTGTTACACTGTTGACTCATATTTATCTTGTGATCCACTATGACCCCAAGATCCCTTTCCACAGTATTCCTTCCTAGGTAGTCATTTCCCATTTTGTATGTATGCAACTGATTGTTCTTTCCTAAGTGGAGTACTTTTCATTTGTCCGTACTGAATTTCATCCTATTTACTTCAGACCATTTCTCCAGTTTGTCCAGATCATTTTGAATTTTAATCCTATCCTCCAAAGCACTTGCAACCCCTTCCAGTTTGGTATCGTCCACAAACTTGATAAGTGTGTACTCCGTATGCCATTATCTAAATCACTGGTGAAGATATTGAACAGAACAGAACCCAAAACTGATCCCTGCGGGACCCCACTCAATATGTCCTTCCAGCTTGAGTGTGAACCACTAATAATACTCTTTGGGAAGGGTTTTCCAACCAGTTCTGCACCCACCTTATAGTAACTCCATCTAGGTTGTATTTCTCTAGTTTTTTTCTGAGAAGGTGATGTGAGACAGTATCAAAAGCCTTACTAAAATCAAGATATACCATGTCTACCACTTCCCTCCTAGCCACAAGACTTATTACCCTGCCAAAGAACATGGGTTGATGTGGGGGGAGTTGAGAGGATGGGAACATATAGGCTTACTTTCACTAAAGCGTCCCTATTTAAAAAAGCACTTAAGCCTGTGCATTGAAATCAATGGGACTTAAGTATATGTGTATGTGTTTTCCTGTATCAGGGCCCGTGACCTTAAAGTCTGGCTCTCCAACTTAGTGCTCTGAGGACAGTGATAAGCTATATATGAGAGACAATAAAAGCCAAAGTGACCTCTAGTTCTGACAGCAGTGTGCCTCCTAACAGCTGGACCCCAAAAAACCCCCAAAACAAAACAAAACAGAGGCAGCTGTTTTATGAGTTACATGTCCTCACCCCATTAATTGACACAGAGCCTGACTCTGCAGAATTGAAGCTAGTTGGACTTCAATGAGAACAAGATCAGGGCCACTGGGAGAACTGCTCCACCTTTAGGCCACAATCCCCACCTCCTTGTTTGTTTCGTGCCAGTGACGGGCCTTATTTCAGATGTCAACATGCAAATTCCAATAATTAAATTGGCCACTTTTCTTGTCTTCCAACGGCTGTACATTTCAAGACATCATTTTGGAGGCCCGTTATGGATCCCAGCATCGCAAACAGAGGAGAAGCCGCACAGCCTTCACTGCCCAACAACTGGAAGCCCTGGAGAAGACTTTCCAGAAGACGCACTATCCAGATGTGGTGATGCGGGAACGACTGGCCATGTGCACCAACCTACCAGAAGCCAGAGTACAGGTATCCACTTTCTACCTTGCTTGCTCTAATAGGGCTATTTAAGAGCTATACGAATAGGGCCCACTGGGTTGGCTTGATCTGTAGTTCTTTCAAAATGCTTCCATAGTAACCAAAGGAGGAGGGTTTTCTCTGCAGCAAAAACTGGACTTAAATCTTTCCTTCAGACTCAGGGAGCTGCAAAAGAAACAATCCACACACACATTTTTGAGGGTTTGTGTTGTCTGAGGGTAGCCCTGGCTTTCATTTGTGCTTCCAACTCTCTTTGGAGGGGAAATGGCCACAAAAGTCAACTTATTTATTTATTTACTTATATGACTGTTTCTCTGGCATCCTCAGAGGCCTGGGAGCACAAGTAATTCCAGCTGTTCCCTCCCAACCATGTCAATATTTATAACATCTCAGACCATCTGTCCAACATTTTCTGTTCTCCTCCAGTGAAACAAATAACGAGAGCTGGTCGGGAAATTTTTCACAAAACTTTTTGCAGTGGAAACTGCCAATTCATCCGAATTGAAATTGTTTGAAAGAGGTGGTTGGTTATGAGGGGTTTTTCAGTTTGAATTAAAAAAAAATAATAATAAAAAAAGCTTAGAAATTGTCAAAATGAGATGTTTTCAAAACAAAAAAACAAAATTTGAAAAGTTCTAGGTTTTGGATCAACATTACTCTTCTTGAGAAATTTATCTTTTAAAAAAGGAAAATAGAAAGGACAAAAATCAAAACCAAAACAGAATTGTCCAAACAAAACCTCATTTTGATGGACCTGAGCTGAATTTATTTTTTGTTCCTGAAAATTTGAGATGGACTTTTTGTCACAATTTGAGGTGAAAATATTCTTCAAAATCTCAAATCCTTGTGGGATGGGAAAACCACTTCTCACCTAGCCCTACAAATACGAATGTGTCGCATGACTTAATGGTAGTATGAGTGCCTGCCCAGTATGGGTTTAAGGCGCTACATAGCAGGCCAGCCTTAATGGAGACAAATGGGAAGGGGACATGAGCTTTCAATCTAGCAGAAAAAGATATAACATGGGGCTGGAAGTTGAAGTTCAACACATTCAGGCTAAATAAGGTGTAAATTCTTGATGGTAAGAGCAATTAACCATTGGAACAATTTACCAAAAGTTGTGCTGGATTCGCGATCATTGATTTTTAAACTCAAATTGGATGTTTTTCTCAAAGATCTGCTCTAGGAATTACTTGGGGGAAGTTCTGCAACCTTGGGCTAAACAAGAGATCAGACTAGATGATCACAATGGTCCCTTCGGGCTTTGGAATCTACGAATTACAATCTTGAGCAGGTTGTCTCCTGAATTTATTCCCAAATTGAGATACATTGGGATATTGTGTTGAAAAGGTCTCACACACACACACACACACACCATGTGAACAGAGGTTGTACGAGTATTAGCAATTGGATATTTTCCTGTAACTTAGGAGTAAGAACCTTTGACTTTGCTCCAAAGGGTTATTGGTTCAATTCCCACCAAGGAAACTTCCTTCACCACCTGACCTGGCATACTAGAGTCAAATGTCCCATGATATCAGATACAAATGTCCTGCTGTATAGCTTTAATGGATTAGACCAGATATCTTAATGTGAGACATGGCATCACACAGATGATATATATTTGGCCCAGCCAGGGTACAAACCACTTGAGACCTGGTTCCCAGTTCAGTCTCGAAACACCACAATACCACAACAGAGGTGCATTCATCATAGAGGGGGCTTGCATACAACATATATAACAAAATCAGTTAAATTGCAAAATTTATCATTTTGTTTTGTGGTAGCACTTAGAGTCCACACTCAGGGATCAAGGTATTACTGCTAGTTAATATGCATGCACATACTTCATGCCCCAAACAGCTTACAGTCTAGAGACTCTAGAGTATTCTAGTGTACAGAACACTGAGACTCAGGACATGTGGGCTCTAGTCCCAGCTCTGCCACTGGCCTCTTAGGTGACCTTGGGCAAGTCACTTCCCCCCTCTGTGCCTCAGTTCCCCCATCTGTAAAGTGGGGATAAGACTATAGACCTACATTGTAAAGAGCTCTGAGATCTACTGAGATGAAAAGCACTACATAAGAGGTTGTTGTTATTTAAATCCATTCAGCTAATCATTCAAGACAAATTATCTAAAGTGTTGGCAGTAATTAATGCATATGTATGTCCTCTATAGTATGACTTATTCTGACTGTGTTTCTGTGTAGTTTTGGTACAAATTAACGTGATATAGGCTGTTTTTGGAAAGCTAGCGAAACATTGTGCTCTCTACCTATTTAATATCTCAGGTCTGTGGGTAACAGGCATGGTTTAATACATCACATGTGATTTTTTTTTTCTTGACGGAGCTGTGTTTTCTTAAAGAACCAGCATTAAGTCTTGGGATTTTAAACATATCTAAGGGAGTTAGGCCCCCAAATTCCATTGAAATGCAGTGGTGCCTGGGGTTCTCTTCAAAATCCCAGTCTATTTGACTTTTTGATTTTTGCATTAACTGGGGTTTTTATCCTGTCTCCCTGGGGCTGTTTGCGCTACGAAGGTTTGGTTTAAGAACAGAAGAGCCAAATTCCGGAAGAAACAGCGCAGCCTCCAGAAGGAGCAGCTGCAGAAGCAGAAGGACTCAGAAGGGAGCCACGGCGAGGGGAAGACAGAAGCTCTTGTGCTGGAAAGCCAGACGTCCACCCCTGACACAGACAAGCCACAGAGCCAGCCGAGCGCAGTGAGCACGGAGCTGAACCTCACCTTGTCGGAGCAGTCGGCCAGCGAGTCCGCAGCGGAGGACCAGACGGACAGAGAGGAGGACTTTAAGAACCCCTTGGAGGAGTCCAAAGCAGACAAAGGTCCCGGTGTGGAGAGCAAGGCTCTGAACTGCAAGATAGCCAGTCCAAAAGCAGGTGAGGGTCAATGTGCGTGTGGAGGCCTGGTCACAGGGCCAGATTGGGAGCCAAGCATTTGTAATCCCAGAGGCTGAGTATTGGCTAGTGCAGTATGATATGCCCTAGATCATGGGCTTCCCCCAGCCTGGAAGCGGGAGGTCACCATCCCCGGGGAGGAAAACAAACTGGTCCAGGTGTGTGATGGCCATTCTTCCTTTCTTTATGTCTAGATGCGATGCAGGGAGGTCCTCTCTGTTGTAACATGGGGTCCCAGTGCAGAGAGGGCTGAGATCTCCCTGTTAGATTAGATGAGAACAGGAGAACACTGCTCAGTGACAGCATGCCATTCACAGGCATACCGGGCACACACTTCCCCATTGGATAAGAGTCCAAATGCCCCCTGGGGAATACACACTTGCTAAAAAACCTGGCTCCCTCTCGCAAGCCAGGTCTGCCAGGCACTTTAATGAGGTAGGTGCCAGTTGTGTGTGACCCAGTAGGGCAAACATGACCAAAGAGTTTAGCACAGAAATAGTTCATAGTATGGAATCAGAATCTCCTCTCCTGATGGACTGTAATGGCTTGTAAAGGGTCAGAAAGGTGTCAAATCCTAGCCCTCCAAGAGCTTGTTATGAATATACCACAAAACCTGCAAGACAGACAACCAGGCCTATTTTCTCCAGAGAAGACAGTGGCAGGTTTGCTCATGCCTGGCCAATGCATTTCCCCACTAAACACAGAACAAATATGTCCATCCTTCTCACATGTAAACCCTCTCAAGAATGAAGTGGAAGGCCACAGGGATAGAGAGATGGCCCTTACTGAGGAACATAGAAATTGACAGACTGTATCCAGCTAGTGAGCCATCTAATCTTGACTCTGATGGTGGCCAGCTCTTGCAGTGGGCAGCTATAGAAGAATCTGCCCATGGCAAGTTTCTTCCTAGTGTTCATCAGTTAGAGATTGGCTTATAACATGAAACATGAGAGTTTATGCCTCTTCCAAATTATTATTAATTATTATTATTGATTTTGAATATTCAGTCCTTTTGGGACTCCTGTTTATCTCTCGGTTTCAGAGATATCTTGTGGCAATGAGTTCCCCAGGCCAATTTGTGCCTTCTGTGGAAAAAGTATTTCCTTTCTGGTCAGATTTAAATTGGTCACTTTTCAATTTCCTTGAATGACATCCCCAACCCTGCACCCCTCCCATTCTTGTATTTTGACAAAAGGTGTCTTGAATGGTCTCTTGAAAGGTGTCTTGAGTGGTGCCATTTGGAAGAGTATTATAGGGCCCCAGTCTTGCTTGCTTGGGTTTCTCCACCATGGACTCAGCAAACAAGGTCTCCTCTGAACAGTCAGTATGGAAAAATCAGTGCTCCATTCTGGTTCTATTGGGTTTTCACAAGAATAGCCCCACTTTGTCGCTTTCCATGGGCTTGTCTGAGCCTTGCCTGGAAAGGATCAGGGGAGGCAGTTACAGGAACGCTGGTCCAGATAATTCATTCATCAACACCCTCGCTGCAATTTGGCTTCTGGTTAATTAGCACTCAAATGTGTGAGGTGATTTGCATACTCCGTCCCTGCTCCAGAGAACTTAGTTTGTATAAAAGGTCCACTGCACCCCTCTCCTTCCTCCTTCTCTGTAAATCAGCTGCCACATATGTCTAACCTCAACCACCACCCTCCTTAGGGAGAGTGTTCTATTCAGCTACCACATATGTCTAACCCCCCTCCCTACATCTTGTCTTCTAACGCAGACTCTCCCATCAGCGCCACGGTGACGCCTTCCTCCAGCAGCGGCATGCCTCAGACTCGCTCCTATTCCTCCTCACCTCTGAGCCTCTTCCGTCTCCAGGAGCAATTTCGCCAGCACATGGCAGCCACTAACAACTTGGTCCATTACTCCTCCTTTGAAATGGGGACCCCATCGGCCATGCCCTACTTGGGCATGAATGTCAACATGGCGCCCCTCAGCTCTCTCCACTGCCAGTCGTATTACCAGTCGCTTTCCCACGCCCAGCAGGTCTGGTCTTCGCCCATCTTGCAGGCGTCTAGCTCCCTCCCTACCCTGAACAGTAAAACGACAAGTATTGAGAATCTAAGGCTCCGGGCAAAGCAGCACGCTGCCTCCCTCGGACTCGACACCTTACCAAACTGACCGCAAGGCAGCAGGGGAATGCCCACCCTACCGTCAGCCACAAGAGAAGGCACCTTCCGCTGGCACTAAACGTGTGGCTCTTTTGTCAATACACAGCTCTCATCTCCACCTGGATCAAGGTGCTCCCTTTCGGGGGATACTTTAAATCCTTTACTTCTTCACTCGCTCCATTTTACTGCTCCTGCCCCCACTTCCACAGAAGTATTTAATAAGGAAGGAAAGAGGGCATGTACTTAGATGTTAAAAAACTCTCCTGAGGACCGAGACGTTAAAACTAATGTCCAGAAAGATCCCTCTTTCGTTGATACTGTGATAATGTGCCGACTGTGATTTTTGTTTTGTTTTTGTTCTCTGGAAAACCTAGTCCCCCCCACCCACCCCAGTTTCGTACTGTATATAGATTCTATTGTTGAAAACATCCTTCACTTGTGTGTTGCTGTCTGTGATGCCTTATGCAGAACTATGGAGCATTTTGCTCTTTCCTCCCTCCCCCTTCCTTTCAGATTTATACTTGTAGTAGCTAGAATCAAAATTACAATCCAAAAAAAACCCCGCAAGCTCTGAGTGGGTGGTGCTTTTTTGGCTAGAGTTCTGAATGAGTCTAGCAAGAGAAATTCAGAGAAAAGATTCTGAATGCCATTATCATATCTTCTCCAGTTCGCCGTTAAAAGCAATCCTGCAAACACCAGGAAATGATGTAAAGGGTTGTTTCCTGTTAAAGCACTTCCTGATGGTAGGGACTTTTTTTTTTTTTTTAAGCACTTCTTCGAAGACAGAGGATAAAGAATTTGCCACTGGGCTCTGATGGTTAGAGAGCAAGGAAAAAGGAAAGCACTGGATTTTGTCAAATTCACAAGACTTTTACCGAGGTTGCTGCAGCTTTGTTCTTCACTGAAGTGTACACCCTGCTATTTATAAATGATGTGTAAAAAAGCATTTTGGTCTAACTTGGACAACAAAGAACAATAAAAAGTTGGTATGAACTCCTGCTGTGTTCATACACCATTTGCATTATATGGCGGTTCCTCAAAACCGTGATTAATTCAAGCTGTGTTTAGGAAAACTGCCTCCGTGCCAAATTCTGTCCTCAGACCACAAACCCTGGGGGCTCCCCTGCTTGTCTCAGAAACTGACTAAGTAGAGAATGAATGCAGATAGGCTAGAGATGGACCTGAACCAATACCCAGATCTGAACACTCCTGAGCTTAGGAGATGACTTAAATCCAAACCCAGAGGCGGATCTCAATTTTGCAAATGGCCATTCCTCTCGGTAGAAGGCCAAACCAAAATCCCAGATCCAGACATCCTGCAACCCAGTGGGATGCTGAAGATCTGAATCGAAATTATACATGAGCCTGATCATCGCTGATACTGTTAATGGAGCTATGCCAGTTTACACCAGCTAAAATCTGGCCCATATGTGATTCGTGTGTGTGTGTGTGTGTACACACACATACACACCATGGATATCTGATGAACTAAAAGCTTTTATTGATTTCTGTTTTGCCTAGCTCTGTTCCATTACCAGTGCAATTACACTAGCACAGAGGATAATGGCCAACTTACTTCTCTAAATGTGGAAAAAAGAATACAACCTGCTTGACTACAACAGTCTCTCTCAAGCTGTTCTGCTCAAAGTCTCTCTCGGTGAGTTACCAGTGGTGACCAGACCTGGTTGGGAAATGATTTCCCTCCCCCTCTTTGAAAAATTTCAACAAGAACTCTTTTCCCCCATGGGGGTGAGTTATTGAAGACACATTTTCAACAAAAGTGGAAATAAGTTTGTGTAAACTTCAGTTCAGTCAAACGTTTTGATGGAAAATGTTAATTCGGCTCGAGTGGTTGACAGGATTACGCACGTCACCGACGCTGCAAGATGCAGCTCTATACCGGGTATTTTGTCTGGGATCTTCAAAGAACCCAAACCATATTGGCACCCTCTCCCTGAGGCCTTCTTGAAAATCCCAGTCTTTATTTTTTATAGCACTTGGGTCCTGCCACCCAAAATGACAGACACCAAATATGAGCTTTAATTTTATTTTCCCCCAAATTACCTCTTTGTTTCCTCTCCTCCCATACTCCTCCTGCCCTAAGGATGATGGTGGGTAGGTGTGAAGATGGTTTTAATACAGCAGAGCAACTGAAAAGCATTTTAAGCACCCAAGGCTAAATTTTGCCCCCAGAACTGAGCTGATGAGGTACTCAAGCTGTTTTTTCCTTCCCTCTCATGCTCACACACCAACTTTGATGGCAGACCAGGAAGGGTGATAGAGCGAGACATCGAGAAGGGTGGCCTAAGGGACATGACATTCAATTCTGATATGGTGCGACTGGAGTCAGTGACATCCCTTTGCAGGTCAGGACACTAATATCGTTACGCTACGGGATATAGAAACACACCATAGAAGATTACAAGGATCAAAATCTATCAGTGCCCGACCTCTGCCTGTAGCCCTCAGCAAGCTCAGGAAATGGAGTGTGGCAGATACACCCACCTGACCCTACAATAAACTTCCCTCAGTCCTCCAGAGGAAGCAGAAACTTCCCTAAGGTTCTTGTCATCTTGCCTCAGGAAGATCGCAGTGTAGCAATCCATTGAACCTTATGTGTATCATGTTACATATCTAATCCCATTTATCTCCGGAGATAGCATTGGTATCCAAGAGACAGGTCCTGTTCTGAGCACTGAGTTCCTTCCCTTCTCTGCTCGGGTCACTCCATTAAAATCAATAGAGTGACACATGGATAAAACTGGAGCAACAGAACAGTGAGTCAGACTCCTGGTCTTCTTTTAATCCTAATGGCAGCTGATCCAGGGGCAGAGAATTTCAATCTTCATCACTCTCTAGGGAGGAATCTTTCCAAGTTGTACATTTTTGTTTATTTCCAGGACTGTCTATGCCAAATTTGCCGGTGTAGCCCACAACCATAAATACCTAAGGAAGACAGATCATGTATCCCACTCCCAGGAGATGTAGGTATGCAAATAAATTAGAATCCTGTTCCAAATCACTCCTCATTTCAGTTTAACAAAATCTGGTACCCTTGTTCCATCTTCTCTTACATTCAACCAAACTAGACTGAATTTCAAAGTTTTGATGAATTTTCAAAAACAAAACTGAGGAAAACTTTCAATGATCTTTTTGGAAGATTTCCCCCTTTTTAACTCCCACCACCACCACCACCACTTTAAATCAGCCATAGATCTGGTCAAAATTTTCTGGTTCACAATTTTTCCCCTTTGATCACTTGTTCGCATGAGATGTTGACACGCCACGTGTACATCACATGTAGTGCAGATACTAAGACCCAAATGTCACTTAAGTAGAAGACAGTGTAATGATCAGTGCAGATAGCACCTCCCAAGTTAGACGGTGCTATATCTTTATCTTGCTTTCAAGTTGTTGTCCGAGCATTCCAAGCAGAAGTAGTGCACTGAAAAAAACAAAAACAAACCCTACGCCTCTCCCACCATCACCCTGACAGTGTCACTACGCTGGGGCTGAATGAAATGTTTTGGTTTTTTTTTTTTACTTAGCAGGGTTTTGTAGTCCACAGCAAACGGTCAAATATTAACTTTTATGGTTTATGTAATTGTTTGGGGAGAAGAATATTCCCCAAACAAAACGCATAGCATAGATGTTGGAATGAACATGCTGGCTTCCTTATCGATGACTAGGCAAGGACCTCCAGAATCTCCACAACTTCTATTTTACATGGGCCATGAAAAGAATATGAACCGGGGGACTGTGTCAATGTGCATGAGATTTTTGTTTTCCCCTCTAGCTCTGCTCATATTACCTTCCCTCTGCACCACATGTGGCCAAAACCTACAATTTTGCATTCAGAATAGATTTTCCAAGTACGAGCCCATCCTGTGAATTGCTGCGAGCCTCTATGCCTCATAGGATCAGATCCCACCTGAGAAAACTACTGAGTAAAAGGGTTAAAACAATGCAGAGTAGGAGTTTGCAGTAAGACTGACTAACTTGTGATGCAAGGAAAATGTCCTGGGACCAATGAAATCAGTGGGAGTTTTGTTTTAAGTAAAAGAGTGTAGAATTAGATGGTTAGAGAAGAAATGCTGATTCTGAGTAGGCCTGCTACCATAGAAGGTTCTTTTAGTGCTGGTTGGGAGGGGAAAAGGCAGGGGATTTATTTGCAAACAATCTTTGAAATTCCTGAATTTAAAATAAAAGGGGCAAATTTTGTCTGCATTTCTTTTCCCCCCCAAAAATTCAAAATTTCCAATTTGAAACATTTCAGGCAGGTCTACAGATGGTTGAAAAAACTGCAAATGTTACATCAACATTATTATTTTTTTACTTTAAAAATTTCAACATCTGAAGAATTTCTGCTGGTTCTAGGTTCTTGTAACCATGGCAGCCAAACAGACTTGTGCATCTCTGATCAGGAAACACCCAAGTGGCATGGGCATAAGTGGGGAATTTGGGGCTGTTTTCTACCTGGAGCATTGCATCAGACTCTCATTGACATGACAGAGTTTTTAACAAAGACTGGAGACAAAAAGATGGTCCTTGGAGTTTAATGTGTGAAAGGATTAAACAAACCTTTATGAAGGAAAACCAAAATCAAAACCACCATGATATAAAGGTCTAATTATATAGCCAAAACTAGTGAATTCAGAGAATTTTCCTTTTGGCTATACAAGCTGTGTTAGTCTTTTTACCCCTTGTGTGCCTCTTTGCCGGTCTTTACAATTTACTCTGGAAGGAGACAAAAAGCCTGTGTTGTTTGATACATCTAAACAACTATTTATTTCTTAAGTGACTGAGGTTCACACCAAAGCACAATGATAGACTCGGGAAAGAGAAAAGGGGAAGGAATCCTACCATAGCAACTGGGAAGGATTCTCCATCAGATTCAAAACCAAATCTAGTAACAATTAACATTCTGTATATTCAACAGATGTTCTGTAGATCCACTGTTTTGTACTTGACCATATGGCCAGAGCCACTCAATTCGTTCTCAGATTTCTCACACTACGCCAAGGGACAGCTTTAACCTTGATTTAAAGACAAAGAGGCCAAAGTCTCCACTCCCGTAAATGAGTTGCAACTCCATTGACTCCAATGGACCTGTGCTGACTTATGCCCAAAAGTGTCAACCAGGTTCAGGATTGGCCACTTGCATGAAATCTTATCGGTGTCTACGAGCCCCGGGGAGCGAAATCAGTTATTACTTTTCAAAGCTGGAGGAGGAACCAGACTCTGCTCTCAATTGTATTGGTGTAAAATTGGAGTAATTCCAGCATCTTCACTGGAGTAATGCCAGATTCACATCTATGTAACTGAGAACAAAACCCAGCCCGAGAATACAGCATATTTGTAGTATACTCAGAATAGACCATCTTTCCAGCCTAGATGATCTACTACACACCCAGTGAAAGAGCCATTTGTAAATTGTTTGATAAAGACATTAATTAACCCCGCAGGAAGTTAATCTCCTGTTTGGTGTACTATTCATGGCCACACATTTCATAACCTTTCTAGCTATTGAGAAGGGCTGCCGTGTGCTGCTGAAGTTTAGATGCGTCTTTGCAGTTTAAAGTAATTTTTTAGGATTTCTTCTCCAAGAGTATTGATGGCCCTTTTGACTACTGACCAGAGTTGCCAGTTAGCTCCAAAGTGTAACCATGCGTGTGTCAAACATATCTTGCAAAGGAACAAAGACTTTTAAAGGGAAAAAAAATCAAAGTTATGTACTGTACAAACTGCTGTAAAATTAAGCTGTAATGTAACAATTTGTGCTTTAGAAGCCACTCTCTGCAAACCCAAACATGTGTATATTTATTTATTCTGATAGCTAAAAGAAAAACCAAGAATTTATGTTCATTTTGAAAAAGCGGCCGCATGATACTATGTACCACTTGTGCCAGTCTTGCTTTCTGTATAGTTAGTGCTTGTTTTCATACTCAGCTAATAAAAAAATGCAAGGAAAGCTTGTCTGCCCCTCGCAAGTCATTCATTAAAAGTGATTTGGGCGGATCGACAGAAATTGAGGTGGTGAGTGGCCTGAATTGTTTTGTGCTGGCTTTGTGGCCATTTTGGCTGAATATCATCATTATTATGCCAAGGTTGTTACAAGGAGGAGGGAGAAAAATTGTTCTCGTTAACCTCTGAGGACAGGACAAGAAGCAATGGGCTTAAATTGCAGCAATGGCGGCTTAGGTTGGCCATTAGGAAAAACTTTCTGTCAGAGTGGTTAAGCACTGGAACAAATTGCCTAGGGAGGTTATGGAATCTCCATCATTGGAGATTTTTAAGAGCAAGTCAGACAGACACCTCTCAGGGTCTAGATAATACTTAGTCCTTCCATGAGTGCAGAGGACTGGACTAGGTGACCTCTCAAGGTCCCTTCCAGTCCTATGATTCTATTGTGTATGGGGAAATTTCCTAATGCAGAGGAACTTGCACATGGTAAAAAGCCCCATAGTTGAGTCAATTAGGAGACCAGACCAGACAAAACCCTAGAGAACACAGAGTAGGGAACCTTCATTGGCAGCTGGGTATAGAATAGCCAACTGTAGTCGGGCCACCATTCATTTCACTCTCTCTTGTGGCCAGAGGTGTTTCCACAGGGCCCTCTGTCTGCCCCCTCAGGAGTGCTGTACAGTCTCTCTCAGGGTAGTCATCAGCCATCCCCGGAAACTGAGTCAGTAGCCCAAAGTAATTCAAAATAGTCCTCAGCGTCCCAAACACAAGGTCCATTCTAGCAGCCCCATAGCTTGGGCCCATCTCCACCACGCTGGTTGACTGCGGAGCCTTTATTCTATCTAGCAGAAGCCTAGCATTCCGGCTCTGCCTTCCTTCCTCGGTCAGCACGCACCCAGTGCTCAGAGGCAGCGTGCGATGTCACGCTGTGCGGAGGGTACCATTTTAGTTTCTGTATAAATGCCAAAATGGTATTCCGGCCCCACTACCCCTTTGCCCAGGACCACCTCTTCTCTTCCAGTTTCGGGCAGCTCCTGAGCTCATGCTTACACCAACATCCCTGGGACAGCGTCTTCTGCCCCAGCCTTTAGTCTTTAAGGGCCAGTACACCCCATCACACCAACCTAACTGGTTATTTCCAGCTGCCATGTCTCAGAATCACTGTTTCTAACACACTGGGGTCATACATACCAGGGCTTCTTCAGCTGAATGACAAGAAAGCTTTATTGTGCCAACGTATTTAGGCTACACCACGTACATGGCTGGTTCAGAGGACTTGCCTCTCAGAGTAAAGGAGGAACCTGTTCCTACGACAGCACGACGATGTGCTCTTTCTTGTTCCAGGCAAAGTCACAGTTTAGCCCAAAGAATGACAAATGATGGTTGCTGGCAAGTCTCAGGGAAGTGAAGAAGAAATCTATATAAAACTCTTTCTCTGCTATTAACTCCAGGTTCATTTGGACAGGGAGACCAATCTATCTAGCCAGTGAAAAGTGTACAGATGGTGTGCAGCGAGCAGTAACACACCTGCCCTATTTGTGAGTTAAAAGGCCTAATCCAATGCCCAGTTAATCCAATGGAAAGACTCACTTTTCCAAACTTTTTCTGACTAAATTTACCAACATTCAAGTTTTCAATTAAACTTTATTGCTGAATAACAATAAAAAAAAAATCGGACCAAACTTTCACAAATATCTTTGTCCTCATTTTCAAAACACTTCCGAATTTTGAAATTTTCAGAAAAGATATTGAAATTTTGGCAAAGAAATGCAAATTATGTCATAATAAATAATTACTAGCTAGCGCCTATTGCATTTTCATCCACAGATCTCAAAGAGTTTTATATAGGGCAGGATCATTATCCCCGCTTTACATATGGGAAAACTGAGGCAGAGAGCGTGATGCCACTTGTCACCCAGGAAACCAGTGACAGAGTCAGGAACAGAACATTTTTTTCTAAACAGACCTTTGAACAATTCCCAACCAACTCTAGCTATAACACAGTTGTCCCCTGCCCCAGGTATAGGGTGACCAAAGAGCAAGTGTGAAAAATCGGGACACTTTTTTTTGAGTGTGGTGGTGAAGTATAAGACGAAGCCCCTAATACCGGGACATGTGGTCACCCTACTCAAAGTATAACACACTAAAAAGCTGCAGTACAGATAGAACCGGCAGTGGGCTAAAGTCTTGGTCAATTCCTGGTTTCAACGTGGCTGTTGAGAGACATACGGGTTCTGACTCTATTTTGATCATAATGGCACCTGGTGAGAGGACAACTGCCCTGTGACTGGGCCCTCTGACTCTGTTACAACGGGGAGTCGACAGGGCCAAAGGCTCAATCAACCCCTTCTGAGACTGGAATCTATAGTTCCAGGAAATCATACCTGATGCCTAGGCCAGGAAAGCCATCCCCTAAAATTACTGACAGGTTTGTTCCAGAAAAATATGTCAGAGGAAAACTAAGACTATTTGAGAAAGATTCAGAGCTCAATATTAAGAGCATATGTGGTATTTTGATCCATTTCCATAACGCATACATAATATTTGCTGTAGGAAGGGGGAATTAAAAAAAAAACCAACCACAGTTAATATTCTCCCATGGATACCCCATTTGCTGATTCCTCTTCAAACTGTGTAATTGGGTGTCTCCGGCAATGTGATGAAATGTGCCACAAACATCAAAAAACGGTGCCGAATTAAATCTGCTTTTCATAATCTCCTCTCATTTCCCAGACCTGAGACATTTTATTCAATTTTTCCTGTCTAAGTTGATATGTAAAGCCATATAAACATATCAATGCAAATAAATACATATATATTTTTCAAACTCTCATAAAAAATGCACTCCTGACTAAGATTCACATCCAGTGTCTACCACATCGTTGCTGCTCAATGTAATTCAATTTTTTGTTGTGTGTTGCGTTACTTCTAAGAATGTCTAGGGAGCTGCATGGTACTGATTTTGGTTTTGTTCCCAGGTTCCCGTCTATCCGTCATGTTTTGACTTTATTATCTGACCCTGATTAAAAATCTTTCCCATTTGCATTAACAGTTAAAAAAAATCTATGCCAACTACCCTTAATATTATTCAAAATAAGGAAAGAAAATGGGATCCTATTAGATGCTGGAGTTGTCTATATTTTCATAGATTAATGCTGGAAGGGACCATTATATGATCATCTACTCTGACGTCCTGCATAACACACATCAGAGAATTTCACTCTACATTAATAAATTCAGTGTGTACATTTTTCAAAAGCGATTAAGTGATTTAGGTGTCTGGAACATAAACACCTAAATCACTTAGGTCCAGATCCTCACAGGAATTTCCATTGCTGTCTTTGGGAGTTAGCCAGATTTATAAAGGGACTTAGGCACCTGTTTTGGCACATTCCCCCATATGGTCAGGGTTCTGCTGTGCCCCCTGCCACCTGTTTTTTTGGGGTATGTGGTGGCGTTATAAAAACACTCTTGTTGCTCAGCCTAATGAAATAAGTGGATATGAATCCTGATATCAGTTCTACTTCTAGAGAAATTCCCTTAGGGTATTGTCACCTTAATGACTCTAGACAGACACTCCTACTTTACAGTTTCGGGGCCTAATCTGTAATACCCCCTATAGTGAGTAATCCTTGTGTCTGCAGCAGGAGTTGCACGGGAGAAGACTCTCACACTGGTAGTGGCAAGACTGTAGAGAAGGGGAGAGAGGAGCTGATGATGGAAGGGTAAGAACGCATCCTACCTAGACTGTGCTTATCATCTTAGTGGCTAAGGTCCCGATCCTGCAAAGAACTGACCCATGAGCTTAACTTGAATTACACGATTAGTCTCACTGAGTCCAGTGAAGCTGCTCACGTACACAAACATGTATGAGTCTGTGTACGCAGGCCTTGGTCTCTCTAGTGTTACCAGCACAGCCCTGAGGCTTGCCCTTGATTGGTGGCACCTTCCTCGTCACCCATCCCTTAACGGGTATGTCTGGGTTCGAAACAAAGCAAGCTCACCAGGGTAGGGACAGAGAGCCCATATGCTCAGGGTTTAGCTGATCGCCATATTTGGGGTCAGGAAGGAATTTTCCTCCAGGGCAGATTGGAAGAGGCCCTGGAGGTTTTTCGCCTTCCTTTGTAGCATGGGGCCCCATTCTCTGCTACTTGAAGTCTTTAAACCACGATTTGAGGACTTCAATAGCTCAGACATAGGTGAGGGGTTTTTCACAGGAGTGGGTGGGTGAAATTCTGTGGCCTGCGTTGTGCAGGAGGTCAGACTAGATGATCATAATGGCCCCTTCTGACCTTAATATCTATGAATCTATGAAACAAAGCAAGCTCACCAGGGTAGGGACAGAGAGCTTGCCAGCTGCCTGGGAGACACCCTTGCTGCCCAGTTCGGTAGCAGGGCAAAGAGATTCCCTTGAGCTGTAACTCGTTACCAACACATCCTGTCTTTATTAGTAAAGCAAGATATTGCTTTGCTAGATTCACTGTATCCACACAAAAATACATGGGAGACTCAATAGAAGGGGAGGATGGGTGTTGGGGGGGGGAAGGGGAAATAACAGTGCTAAACAACCAATAGGAAGTGTGATTCTGCTTGGGGTTTCAGTCTCCTCGGAGACTAACACTTCCTCCATATTTTCAAGCTTTTTCTTACAGGAATCAGAATGGGAAAATCAGGGAAAAGTTTTCCCACTCTATTACATGAAAGGGAAATGCAGGTAGTTTTATATTTATCAATGTGAAACAGAAATACAAGTTCATTAATTATGGTAAATCCCATCCACGACCGTTTTTTCACTCCATCGTAAGAATAATATGCTCTTTTATAGCACGTTTTCTTCATTGATCTCAAAGCTAAAGTATTTTTATTCCCATTTTAGTAGTAGCGAAACTGAGGCACAGAGTGATGAAGTGACTTGCCAAGGGCCACTCAGCAAGCCAGTGGCAGAGCCAGGAACAGAAGCCAGGTGTCTCCTGACTCCCTGTGGAATGCTATAGCCAGTGGACCACA